TGGTGCCTATCTGCCTAGACTTCCTCTGCTGAGGCAACTGCTGGCTGGTGAGTCCCTGAATTGCTACCCTGTGCCAAGGACTTAACCCTCTTTGCTCTACCTGCTGGGTGCCACTCCTAGTGCTGAGGATCCAACCTGGACTTAATTCTTTCCCGCCCGAGTTCTGCCTCCCTGCTGAGGGCCACCACCTGTGCTGAGGAACCAACCTGGACTTAATCATTGCCAGCCAGAGTCCTGAAGCCCTGTTGTGTGTCACCTCCTGAGCTGAGGATCCTACCTGGACTTAATCCTTGATCCACATCTGTCCATACTGTGACAGATGTGGATCACTGGTACAGGTGTGGATGACCACTGGTACACTGTGACAAATGTGGATCACTTTTACTGATGTTGATCACTGGTACAGATGTAGACGATCACTGGTACAGATGTGGATGATCACTAGTACAGATGTGGATGATCACTGGTACACTGTGACAGATGTGGATGATCACTGGTACACTGTGACAAATGTGGATCACTTTTACTGATGTTGATGATCACTGGTACAGATGTGGATGATCACATTGGTGGATTGGTGGTGTGGATTATTGTTAAACCTTCTCTTTTGCTCACAAGAGCATCATGGAAGTTAAGTGCCTTTTCATGAACTAAATTTTCCTCATTGTTCTGTTGAAACCAAGATTGGAGAATTTTTCTCTGATCATTGATGATTCCCTGGTCCGCTAATGCAATTAGAGGCATTCAAACTATTCCTTAGGGGGAGAATCTTTATTGTTGAAATTCCAACTATTAAAAATGAGTCCAAGAAACATGATTCCCATGTGCCTCAGTAAGTATAAAGGCTTAAGCGGTAATACATTTTCAACCCCAATTACACTGCAAAGGAGGTTTTGCTTTCTGCACAGGATGTTCTTGTTCATTTGGCTAACTCCTCTACAGAAAAGAAACTTTTTTTTACACTATGTTGCATTTTATGAAGAAGGGGAACAAACTGGTCACCTTGTGGCAAAAATTGGTAATGCCCAATATACTTCCTAAGCCATCAGAGCACTCAGAATGCCAGAGGGCAAACTAGTCAACTCTTCTGCCTTAGTTATGGCTAGTTAGATTCTATTTGGATATATATACCTCCAAAGCACTAACCTCCTTGGACTCTCTAGTCCACTATGTACAATCCACTGGCCTCCCTAAACATTCTCTCTCTCAACATACCTTTTTGTCCTCCCCATTTATGTTGGAGAAGCTCCAACTGGTGACCAGCTCATTGCTTGGCTGTAAGGCTCCAGGCCAGCACAGTGGCTGAATAGTTAGCACTTCCGCTGGGCAGCACTAGGGTTGTTCGAGTTCTAACTACGGCACCACCTGCCTGGAGTTTGCATGTTCTCCTTGTGCCTGCGTGGGGTTTCTCTCACACTCCAAAGACATGCTGATATGTTAATTGGCTCCTGTCTAAATGGCCCTAGTATGTGTATATATGAATGTGATTCAGGGACCTTAAATTGTATGCTCCTTGAGGGTTAGGGACTGATGTGAATGTAAAATAAAAATATATATATATTTGTAAAGCACTGAGTAAATTGACAGCGCTATATACTGTATAAGTACATGTAATAAATTAATAGGGTGTTACCTCCCAATATAATTAATACGCTGGCAACATGCTTCCCCAGTTATTGAAAGTGTTTAATGTAGCCTTGGACAAGCATTGATTTCCTCTCTCAATGTCCAGAGCTAAAATTATTCTTTTATTGAAAATGGGTAAACCCTCTACTCCTCCTAACACTTATAGGCCTATATCGTTATTACAGTTAGATGTAAAAATTCTTATGAAGGTTTCTGGACCTCAAGTTGAACAATGTGATTTTGAGTATAGTACACCCAGACCAGGTGGGCCGTACGCCCCAAAAATTGACTGTGGTCAACCTCTGCAGGTTATTTAATATACAAAATCCTGCAGACAATGTTGGTCACCGAAGAGCATCAAATGACAATATCAGTGGGTCACCTTGAAAATGTTTGGCTTTGGGAAGGTCTTTTTCACATGGGTGAAATTGTTAAACCATTCCCCTCAGATGGTCATTCGGGGGAGGAAGTAAGACTTTCTTCCACATTTTTTATGGGGGAGAGACAAGGCAAGGCAGTCTGCTCTCACCACTGCTATTTTCCCTGGCCACTGAGCCCTTACCAGCTCTGATTCAATATGATAGTAATAATGAGGGTTTTATATATTGGGAGGTCCAGGAAAAAAATATGTTGTATGCAGATAACATGTTTCTGCTCCTGAGTGATACAGAGCACCCCTTCAAAGCAGTCATGGCTAATATTTCCAGGGTTTGCACTCACTCAGGTCTTATCACTATCTGGACTATGTCTGCCTTAATGCTGCTGGATGGCCCAGTTGATCCAATTCTGTCCTCCTTCTGTCCGTGGCAACATTGTTTAAATATCTTGGAATTGTGATTTCCCTCAACCTTCTGGATTACTGTCAAATGAATGTAATGCCCCTCTTATCTCATTTTTGAGAAAAGGTTAAACTTTGGAACAAACTATGGCTGTCCCTAATCAGCAGGACCAACCTTATAAAAATTACATTCATGCCCCAACTATTGAATTTTCTACAGAATGCCCAAGTAGTTATTATATCGAAGCGCCATTGCATTGTTGATTCTGTTTTAGAAAGGTAGCCCTTGAAAACTTACTATCTGCCCGATCACCACAGATACTCCACATTGCCTGTTATCTTACTAAGGCCCATCCCTGCCTGCTAGGTTGGAATCCCAGTGTTTCTGAAGGCCTAAAAAACCTATCCCTACGTACAAACTTATGCATAAAGTTTGGGCTAAGACAAAACAATTGCTTTATGGCCTATAACCCTTCCGGTCGAATGATACATATCTTGAGTTTGGTGAACTTCACTTGTCTCTTTTTCAGCTTTGCTTTCACAATATGGATTTCCTGATCAAATGTGCTTCTACTTTTTACAGCTTAAGCATCTGGTGATGGCCCAGGAGGCCACTCAAACACGGCACATTTCTCTCACTCCAGTTTTTAATTTCAATATTTCTTTATTGTGTATTTCACATAAACAGAAACAAAATCAAAATCAAATAAGTTGTTACAGTAATCAACTGAGACATCATTTTAAGATCGTGAAACATTTTCAGAAAAATATTGCCATGTTATGAACATGCCATGTCCTTTACTTTCAGATATAATTATTTCTTTAAGTCACAGTTGTAGCAAAATAGATTATAAAACATAATAAAAACGTTCCGTGACACAATGACCAAGAGATCGGACCCCCTCAACCACCCCCCGGCAATAACACAAGACATTCCAGAATATATTTTACATTTGTGGTTTCCTGTGAGAAGAGTACCACTGATTCCAAGTCGGCCAAAGTGTATTAGAGGTAGAATATTTACCGGAATTAACTGCAAGCATATTTTCATACGTAAGGTGGATATGAAGTGTCTGTACAGTTTCATTTACACTTAGGGAGATTGAGGATCACCATATGCCAAGTATTGTCAATTTTGCAGCCAATAATAAATGTGTTGTGAATTGTCTATGATAGGAAGAATATCCTCATTCCTTAGGTTCAATATGGCTAATAATGGAGAGGGTGGGATAGGTAATCCAATAATTTGGTTGAGGAAATCAAACACTGAGGGCCAGAAGCTGTCCAATTTTCTATATGACCAAAGAATATGGTATAAAGTTCCTGTATGTTGACATCCTCTCCAGCATAAAGGAGATTGTGTAGCTTGAAATGTAGATAGCCTGTGTGCAGTAAGATACCACCTTAAGATGACTTATCTCCCACAGATTAGCGCATCCACTCCAGTTTTTAATATATACTACCTTACATACTATCTCAGCCAAAGGTTTTATCTCTCGATGCTTTGCACTGCTTCTAAATTCTTATTTGGAGGGTTATTCTTGTTGGGCATTCAAAAACTGGAAGAGAGATGTAGGTCCTATGATGGAGGATCAGTGGGAAATTGCTCTACAATCTAAATATTTGAGTTCCCTAAATATTACCAACTTTATATTTTACTGTGGGTCCATTATACCCCTTGATGTTTTACAAGACGGGACTGTTACCGCATCCCATGTGCAGCAGGTTCCATAGGGACCACAGGGACCTAATTCGTATGCTATAGCACTGCTTCAAGCACCAATTGGACCGATTAATAGAGCCTTACAAACAGATGTCAAACTAGACCCTAACAAATGTGTTCTGGGAATACTAGATGAAGATGTTCCACAAGAACATGCCAGAAAACATTGTTAAATTCACTAGAAATCTGAGGCTCATCCAACTACCCGGGAATCGATACATCATATGGGTGTCGATTTTCACTTTGAGTGCAGTAACTATACCTACCGTGGCTGCCCAGCTAAATTTGGAAAACTATGGGGGGGTGGTTAACCGCTTCCATATCGGGCACTTTTACCCCCTTCCTGCCCAGGTCATTTTTCAGGTTTCACCGCTCTCACACTTTGAATTACAATTGTGCGGTCATACAACATTGTACCAAAACTAAAATTTTATAATTTTCATCACACAACTAGAGCTTTCTTTTGGTGGTATTTAATCACCACTGGGGTTTTTATTTTTTGTTAAATTAACAAAAAAAGACTAAAAATTTTAAAAAAGCCACATTTTTCTTTGTTTCTGTTATACAAATTTGCAAATAAATAATTTTACTTCATAAATTTAGGCCGAGATGTATTCTACTACATTTCTTTAGTGAAAATAACCTAAATTAGGATGTATTATTTAGTTTGTAGGAAAGTTATAGAGTTCACAAACTATGGTATAGATCTGAATATTGATCAATCCTGAAGTACTGACAGCCAATCTAATTTCTTGAGGTCCAAGAATGTCAGAATAGTACAGAAATCCCCCAAATCCCCAAATGTCAGGACAGTACAGATATCCCCCAATTGTCAGGACAGTACAGATATCAGTAAAAATGTCAGGATACCCTCAGTATCCCCCAAATGTCAGGATGGTACAGATATATCCCCCAAATGTAGGACAGTACAGATATCCCCCAAATGTCAGACAGTACAGATATCCCCCAAATGTCAGGTACAGATATCCCCCAAATGTCAGGACAGTACAGATACAGATATCCCCCAAATGTCAGAACGGTACAGATATCCCCCAAATGTCAGAACGGTACAGATATCCCCCAAATGTCAGAACAGTACAGATTTCCCCCAAATGTCAGGACAGTACAGATATCCCCCCCAAATGTCAGAACAGTACAGATATCCCCCAAATGTCAGGACAGTACAGATATCCCCCAAATGTCAGGACAGTACAGATATATCCCCCAAATGTCAGGACAGTACAGATATCCCCCAAATGTCAGAACAGTACAGATATCCCCCAAATGTCAGAACAGTACAGATATCCCCCAAATGACCCCTTTTTTTTGCAAAGTAAACAGTCCGACGTATTTCATAAGAGGCATGGTGCGTTTTTTGAAGTTGTAATTTTTTTTGTCATAATTTTTCGGAAAATGAAAAAATGAAAAAAAATAACATTTTTTACATACTGTCACCAGTGCAGTACAGTGTCATCATATAACTGGCATCACGATGATCAAGGACACTGACTGAAGACAGTACAAAAAAAAAATTATATATTTTTTAAAAATTTTTATTAGCTTAAATTTTTTATTACATTTTTTACTCTTTTTTTAAGATTTTTTTTTATATTTCACTATGACTAAAGTAGTATAATGTTACCATAGTAACATTGTACTACTTTGAGGAAGTGATCAGTATTTTTTTTTTTACACAATTTGCTTATAGCAAAGAATTACGTTCCTATAAGCAAGCATTTACCTGAATGACATTGATTCAGTCAGGGTTTTTTTTTGTGCTTAGCTGTGATTTGGCCACAGCTAATCACATGACACAGCTGGGCTGTGATTGGCCCAACTTGTGCATGTGATCACTGTGACCATTCACAGCTGAACACACTATGGATGGCATGAAAGGAAGCCATCCATTGTATACAAATGTCAGGTGACCTGCTGTGATTGGTCACAGCAGGTCACATGGTACTGGAAACGGGGCTGATACACAGATCTGTCCGAGGTACACGGCCGGTGACAGATCACACTGCAGAGCGGCCCTGCGGGTATGCGCACTGTGCATGCCTGAAAGGACGCCGTATGGCGTCCACCCAGAGGGACGAGGTGTTTTGCCGCCTTTGTGCTATTGGCCGGGCGGGAACAGGTTTAAACAATCATGGGGGTTATTTACTGAAACTGCATGGTGAAAAACCTGGTGCAACTCGGCATAGAATCCAATCAGCTCCCAGGTTTTATTGTCAAACTGTAATTGAACAAGCTGAAGTTAGAAGCTGATTGGCTACCATGCATGGCTGCACCAGATTCTGAGTGCTCTGGTTTTAGTCAATCTCCCCCCAGTCTATTCCCAATAGACCTGATATTGCATTGACTTATAGAGAGTATAATATGCTATCCGTTTTGTAGTTCCCAAACTGTTGTAACTTGCACAACTAGTGAATTAATGTGAATAACACACTGCTGCTGTGTAATGGTACTGTACAACAATTATGACCAAAAATAATTGCTGGCAATTAAAAAATAATTTAAAAAATGGCATGGGGTCCCCCCCTCCATCCATACCACCATACCAAGCCCTTCGGATCTGGTTTGGATATTGAGGGGAACTCCCACGCCAAAATTAAAAAAAAAAAAATGGTGTGGGGTCCCCCATAAGAATCCATACCGGACCCTTATCTGAGCATGCAGCCCGGCAGGTCAGGAAAGGGGGGGGACGAGCGTGAGTACCCCCCTCCTGAACCATGCCAGGCCACATGCCCTCAATATGGGGGCGTGCTTTGGGGCTGGGGGCTGACAGCTGAAACATTAACACATGGTTGTCACTACTAAAATACCACAAGTTGTTTTATCAAGTCATGTGGCCTTTTAGTAGTGAAAACCAATGCAACGTTCGTGTTTCAGCTGTCAGCGGAGTTCACCACTGAGAGCTGAATGTAAAAGAAAAAATTGGCAGCAATTAAAATAAATAAATAAACGGCACGGGGTCCCCCCTCCCATCCATACCAAGTCCTTCGGGTTTGGTATGGATTTAGAGGGGAAGCCCCATGCCAATTTTTTTTTAAAGGGCCTCTTCCCCACAACCCTGGGCTGTGGTTGCTGGGTCTGCGGGTAGGAGGCCCCCAGGACCCCCCCCCCCATGTGAATGAGTATGAGGTACATGGCACCGCTACCCATTCACAAGATAAAGTGCAGTGTAAAAAAAGACAGGACATGGTCCTTTATTAAAATAAGAAAAATAAAAGAATGTCCCCCCCCAGGTAGATCCAATGTCAATCACAATGCCCGCCTTTAATTATGTGCTTGCAAGGTGCATTGGAGGGCCATTAGCAATGCATGGCATATCAGAGCACCTGCTTTTGTGTTCTGTATCACTATGTATGTTCCTGCTTCCCAATGAGATGAGAATTTTCCTTATTTTCCTTATTTCCTTATATAAAAATGTTATAATTATTTTTTAGTTATTAATATTACTAATGTGTCAGAGTGATTTAGTGAAATTTCTGAAATTTAGAATTTTTCAAATAGAGAAATATTTGAGGATCCATAGTCCTCAATCTCACTCTATTGCAGCTGAGAAGAGAGAATAAACATTCATGTACTACCTAGGAAGGAATACTGGATCATTAACACCGATCATCTCCATGGTCATTAGGGACAAGCAAAGGATCAGTAAATGTGACACACATATTTACCGATACTCTGCTCGTCCATCCCGAACGATCAGTCCTCCCAGATGGGGCCGGCGCTCTTCTCTCTTGCACAGATTACTGTCTGTGCCATTTAGTACTTCCAACTGGCAGTACTAAGGTCATTGCTTCAAGTCCTAACCATGGCACCACCTGCCTGGAGTTTACGTGTTCTCCCTGTGTCTGCGTGGGTTTCCTCCAGTTACTCCAGTTTCCTCCAACATTCCAAAGACATGCTGGTAGTTTAATTGGCTCCTGTCTAAATTGTAGTTTGTGTATGTACAGTATGAATGTGAGTTAGGGACTTTAGATTGTACACCCCTTGAGGGTTAGGAACTGATGTGGATGTACAATATATATGTAAATTGCTGCATAAATTGACGGCGCTATATAAATACCTGAAATAATAAATACATAAAATAAATACTACAAGCATGGGGGGTCAGTGGACACAGCAGTGACAGCAGACTGTGCAGGGGATACAGAATGGAACTGTTTGTTGGAGCCAAAATGTCACAGATCTTCCCCATTGGGTGCTGACTGCTTCCCCCCCCCCCGCACAGCCCACTGTCTCCCCTGCTACAGATGGGGAGATAAGTGGGGGGGGGGCGGTTGTAGGAAACAGGAAACAGGGGAGATCAGGCTTTGCAGGGGACACAGCAATCATTTTTCTTTTTCCTCTGCCCATCAGGGTGGATCGATCTCAGTAGAGTGGCAGGTCTAGGTGGGTGGTGGTGGTAACATCAGGGGGGGGGGGGGTTATTTTGTGAATGAATTGCTGTGATCATCAGCTTGTCAGACACTCATCCTGTCTATTCATGTATTCAGCAGAGTCAGGAGAAGCTCTCTGATATTAGTTCATGGTGGCTGAATTGATCATGAACTTCTATCAGAGTGGGACATTCAGCCGACATAAAGCATACTGGTCTGACAAGCTGGAAGCAGTCCTGTGCCGCCATATGCATTACGTCACTGGCAGCCAAATGGTAAAAAAAAAAAAAAAAACTTTAAAATATGAAATATTTTCACATACGACCATTTCATATTTCCCTGTGGCAAGCAGATGATGAGTGAGGGGAAATAACACCCAGGAGAGTATTTATAAAGCAGTGGTTGTGACTTGGTGGTGAATCATCACTGGCATTTAAAACACATTCAACTGTGCAATTCACCTGCAATGAATGTTTGGTGAATGTAAGCCCTCATGCACACTGGACGTTCTGATAACGCTGGTAACGTTAGCTGTGTAAGCCCTGGTTCACATATATGTGGCCGTGCGGGCCGTGTTTTGCGTGGGTACGAGAGCCCATTCATTTCAATGGACTCCTGTGCTCCATGACACACAAAGAAGTCTTTGCACTTCTGAAAACGCAGCCCACACGGGAACCTCAGTTCCAAGTACAGTTGCGTTTTCCAGTGCAGGCGGCGTACCATTAGAATTAATGGCACACACCAGCGGGTCCACATTCCTCTCTGCGGGTGGTGCGGCTGCACAGATTTTTGTGCGGATCCGCAGCGGTACCACCCCACCGATGTCAACCTAGTGTAAAGTCGCATTAACCCCTTCAGGCCAGCCGCACACAAATGTGCGACCTCCCGGCATCTGGGTCTAGACACCGAGTGGCCACACATTTGCGTGCAATTAACAAAAAACATATGTGCTGAGAGCGCGTGCCCTGCGCGGTACTCATGGAAAGGTCCTGGACTGCTCTTTCGATCTTTTATGCTACATTGCTCTTTCGATTGGGACCTTTCCCAATCATGTGACCACCGTGATGACGCGTCACGGCGGTCACATGATCTCTAAACCCCACCCCGCCTGTTCTGCCTCTCGGCTTCTGGAACTCTTAACCACTTCCTGTCCGGACACTTTTACCCCCTTCCTGTCCAGGGCAATTTTCAGCTTTCAGCGCTATCACACTTTGAATGACAATTGCGCGGTCATGCAACACTGTACCCATATGAATTTTTTACCATTTTTTTGAGACCGATAAAGCTTTATTTTGGTGGTATTTATTTACCGCTGGGATTTTTATTTTTTTTGCTATGTTAATGAAAAAGTCCACAAATTTTGAAAAAAAGTGTTTTTCTTATAAAATTTTGCAAATAAATAATCTTTCATCATAAATCTGGACCAAAATGTATTCCGTTATATTTTTAGTTAAAAAAAAATAAGCCAAATTAGTTTATAACCAAAAATTATAATTTTTAAACTTTTTTTTAATTTTTATTTTATTTATTTTTTTATTATTATTTGTTTTGTTTTTTTACATACTGTCACCCTAGCAGTACAGTGTCACCATGGTGGGGTATACTTTTTTTTTGACATTTTTTTTTTTTTTTTTTTACAGTGGTTGCTTTTACACCCATATAGGATGTAAAAGCAATCATTTTTCTTTCTCTCTGTCTGCAGTCTTGCAGTTATTGAGAAATACTGAGTGAGCTGTGATTGGTCACACCTTGTCACATGGTACAAGGCTGTTGTGAATAGCCTTGTACCATGTGACCTCTGTGATCATTCACAGATTTCACACATAGTAAGCAAAGATGTCACAAGTGACATCTTGCTTACTACTTTGCATGTGATCACTGATTGGCCAATCAGCGATCAC